GATTATGAAAAAATATACGAAACACGAACCGGTAGAGTGAGCAATTGAAATAATTCCAAACTGAACCCACAGGAGAATTCTAATGAACAAGTTTGAAAGATCTTTGAATCAAAATCACTATTATTCACTGAGCTGATCCTCTCACAGAGGCAGATATCTTCCACAGAGACGTACTTTCTCATGAAATTCATCATAAAAATAGATTTTGCAAATAACAAATGCAAATAACAAACATTATCTTGTTATTCAACGGATTGCGATAAGATTCAATGTTCATTTTGGTGATAGTTAGATTGGAACAGCAATAACAGCCGGCTTCCTATTGAAACAATAGGATTACGCAATATAATGGATACATTAGTGCTCAAGGTCAGCATTGACCTTCCTAAACAAATAGCCATTACTTCCGAAATGATTATTTGTTTAATTAGCGGATACACTGAGGAATGTATTGAGTGAACGTATTTTCTCAAATGTAAATTCTACAACTGTATAATTCGTCAATTGGGATAATTTTTTTGATATCATTCAATTCTAGGTAAACATCATCCCACGTTTTATCAAAATTGACGATTTTTCCATGACAAGAAGAATATCATAGATATGTTATAGTGAAGGGAATACATATTTGTTTTCCAATAACTTTCCAATAGGCTTCAGAAATGAATCCACCATAAAATATATGAAAAAACATGTTTTTTTTTAAAAAACACAAGCACTTATTCGCAAGACATAACTTATCGCTTCTTGCGACAAATGGATCTGAGCACGAACATAATACACGGCATGGAGCTTCTTTAAGAATTCCACAGCACAGAACCTCATTATATGAGTACTCTCCACGGTACAATGTAATCAGTTCTTACAATAAGTTACCAAATCAGCTGAAACAAATTGCCGATGATAAGGTATTTCAAAACAAAATTAAAAATGTTTTACTCAGAAAGTGCTATTATAGTTACCAAGAGTTTATAAATGATAATTTGATAGACACAGATTTTAAACCTTTCTTTGATGTTTCAGACTATCAAGGTTGCATGCGATATTCGTGTCTCCAATCAGGTGGATGGCTGACATGATTATGTCAGCACATATTAATATCAATTTGAAACTTCAACAACATTATTATATCCGGTTCGGAGACATTTATTTTCTTGGAGACAACCTCTGCTTGGGTTTTTGTGACATTAAATTGAACCGGGTGACTTTCACCACAATTCGGAATCACCTCTAGATCCTCATTGAAATATGCAATCCCCGCTGCCGGTGAAGATGTGCATCCGCAGCCGATATCCTGGAATGAAAATGTAATGAAGAGGCAAGTGTGCTGTAATCAGCAAAGCGATATATTGGATAATTGATTTTCTACAATAAGTCAGAGGGTTGGAGACAGTATGGATGCTTGGGAAACACCAGCTTTGATGGTGAATGTATCCGAAAAATATCCATCGACAGCCACTTACAGGGAACGTTTTTTCAGGAAGCTTGAGAGACATACACAAAATTGATCAGATGAGCCTTAGCATTGAACTTTGGTCCGCAAACCCTCATGCTCCACACGGTCAAAGGCCTTAGAAATATCAAGTGCAACAGTTCTTGAGTGTCCATATTTCTGGATTGCATTATTTCAAATATGCGGGATACATATTGTTATTTCTGGGATTTGGTGTTACTATGTAACAAATAAAATACTTTTCCTAATCGATATTCCATGTATATAAAAGAAAGTGGTGTTAGTTACACTATTTATAACTCAAGAACGGATGAACCGGTTTGGCTGAAAATTGGTGGAGAGGTAGCTTAGAACAAGGAGAGGGACATAGGATACTTTTTATCCCGTTCGACCGCGTTTCCGTGAAGTCACCAAGAAGTCACTATAAAACTATATAACGCATCTGACATGGAATAACAAAAAAAGATAAAAAAGATAAACGTAATTTTGTCAATGATTAATGAAGGCAGTTGATGATGGAAATGGTGGGTTATATTTTCTGGATGTCCCTGGTGGAACTGGTAAGACATTTTAGCTACTGTTTGTTCGAGATCCAACATTGCGCTTGCAGTTGCTTCTTCCGAAATAGCAGCCACATTGTTAGAAGAATGCCATACGGCTCATTCAGCATTGAAATTTCCTTTATATTTTCAAACTATTGAAGAACCAACAAGTAATATTTCAAAAAACTCCGGCCAACGTTTTATCAGCATCTAAAATCATAATATGGGACGAATGCAGAATGGCGCACAAACGTGCATTAGAAGCACGTAACCAAACATTGAAAGATCTACGCAATGACACGAGATGTTTTGGAGGTGCAATGATTTTACTGTCTGGCGATTTCCGCCAAACACTGCCAGTAATTCCAAAATCAACGGCTGCCGATGTAATAAATGCTTGTCTTAAATCATCGAATCTATGGCGCTATGTGAAAAAACTTCAGCTGACAACAAACATGAGAGTTGCATTGCTTAATGATACATCTGCTGAAGATTTCTCTGAGCAATTGCTGACTATCGGTAATGGTCGAGTACCGGTCCAAGAATCGAGCGGATTGATTTCATTTCCTCAGAATTTCTGTAACTTTGTCTCATCGAAAGACGAACTTATCAGCAAAGTATTTCCAAACATAATTACTAACTACAAAAAATAATGAATGGTTGAGTGAGCGAGCAATTTTAGCGGCTAAGAATAAAGATGTAGATGACCTAAACTACATAATTCATAATGATATCATTGGAACAATGCATTCATTCAAATCAATTGACTGTATAACGCAGTGGTCGCCAACCTGTCGATCGCGAGCTACCGGTAGCTCGCGGAGGCAATTATGGTAGCTCTCACAACGATTCCTAAACAGATCTCAACGT